GACTTTACTGACAATTGTCTCTTTTGTGATTGCGTTAGTCTCCTCTTCATATGCAATCATCTTCTTGTTCTTCTAGAATACTCAGAGCACCACACAAACCAAGACTTTTGGAGTTCCCTGGACACTTACTGAAATGATCTGGGGAGTAGAGTACCCCAATTTCTTTAGTATCAGTTATCATCTATGAGGGAACACAGCTTTGTATCAAGACCTTGGAGATTTGAGTCGGGGGAGAAGGTCATTTATTTCCTTTCTGCTTTGCTCCTAGATAGTATAGCTATCTAGTCACGTGTCACTCTGTGACAGCAGCATCCTGGGAAATGCATTGTTGGGTGATTTCGTCCTTGTGTGAATGTCATAGAGTGTGCTTTCCTAGATTGTGAAGGCTACCACATTGCTACGCATACAGAATTCCAGACTGCTACTGAATCTCACATGATCCTTTGTAGACTAAAACACCACTGTTTGGTGACTCATATGGACACCCATGAGTTTAGATGTTCATTGCTTTCATTGCTCCTATGAAATCCAAATGCCCCTAAGTTTGAAGCGGGCTATGTCGAGCGCCAGTGGCTGGTATTTGTCCAGATGCTGGGGTATAGCACAGTGTTTGTTACCCTTATTTGATTCTCAGTTTAGTTCTCTGGGGAAATCCAGAAAGCAGGAAGTTGCTCAGTTTGCAAAGATGGAGACTGGACTGTTATTATTTATGTCAACTTCTCACAAACCAGAATCACCTGGGGAAAGGAAACTGTACTTGAAGAACTGCCTGCACCAGACTGCTCCGTGGGCATGGGCATGCTGGGGGCCATATTCTCTCTCTCTCTCTCTCTCTCTCTCTCTCTCTCTCTCTCTCTGGAAAAGGCTTTCTATGTGTAGCCTTGGCTGTCCTGGAACTTGCTTTGTAGAACAGGCTAGCCTCAAACTCAGGGATCTGCTGCTCTCTGCCCCCTGAGTGCTGGAACTGAAGGTTTGTGCCATAACCCCTGACTCTGAGGGGCATTTCTTGAAATGATGATTGATGCCCAGCCCACTATGGGTTGTAACATCCTTGAGGTGGCCCTGGAGTGCATAAGAAAGCAGGATGGCCACACCTTTGATCCTAGCACTCTGAAGGCAGAGACGGGTGGATTTGTGTCTGAGTTCAAAGACAGACTGGTCTACAGCTAGAGAGCTACACAGAGAAATTCTTTCTCAAAAACAAAAACAAAAGCCAAACAAACAAACAAACAAAAAGGAGAAAAAAAAAGAAAGGTAAAAAGGAAGGAAGGAAGGAAGGAAGGAAGGAAGGAAGGAAGGAAGGAAGACTAGTTAGCTATGGAAAGAAAGGCAGTGAGCAGTGTTCTCAAAGTCTCCATGCTCCTGCCTTGGCTGTCCTCAGAGACGGACTGCAATCTAACAGCCAAATAAACCCTTTCCTGCCCAGCCTCCTTTTATCAGAGCAAGGGAAGAGTAACTAGGACAGAGGACATGGACAGAGCTGGTTGCCTCAGACCCGAGACAGTTGTCAGTTACTATGTAGTTGCTGGGAATTGAACCTGGATCCTCCAGGACAGCAGTCAGTGTTCTTAATCACTCCAGCCCAAGAGAAGCCAATTTTAGGCATCATTTTGCTTGTATCATCTATTTATAGTAACCATTTGGAATGTTTTATATGACCAGATAGGATACATACTTGAAGAATTTTTTTTCTGTAGAAGTAGGAAATAATCATACTGAATACTTCTGCTTTAAATACTGCTTTTAATGATAATATTTGAATGAATGAGGCCACAGACGATTTTTAAAGCGCCGACAGCACAGGATCATGGAAACATTAATTTCTTTGTACTTTTTCCAAGCTTAAGGTCCATTATTACTTGACTTTTGTATCTGACTTCTGTGCTTATTGATTTATTTATTTTGTAACAAACCCTCCCCCTTCTTTTTCACCTGTATTTTTCAACCAGAAAGTCTACTCTTTGCACCTAAGTGTAACAAAGTCAGCAGGTTAGTTGAACTGCTAAGAGAAAGCCACTAGGGGCCAAGGAACAACCAGCTGTTCTAATGTCTCAGTCCCTCATCTCCCCTGTGGTTCTCAGCCTTCCTAACACTGTGACTCTTGAATACAGCTCCTCCCATTGTTGTGAACCCACTCACAAAATTACTTTTGTTGCTACTTCATAACTGTAATTATACTACTGTTATAGATCCTTATGGAAATGTCTGTGTTTTCCGATGGTTTTAGGTGACCCTGGTGAAAGGGTCACACCCCACAGTTTGAGAACCACTGTTCTAACTCTTCATAGCTCAGCAAAGAACCCTTGTTGAATTTTACTGGAGTTAGTATCAGGGCCATATTTAAATACTGCAGTGCTGAAGGCAGGTATGTCAGCATGGCTACCTGAGACAGCACAGGAAAAGGAGCTTCAACTTGTTACACTGACATTTCATACTAAGGGGAAATACTAAAAGGTACCGGAATAGTTGCTTTTTAAAATGTGATGCTGAGGCACTTTCTTTCTTTCTTTCTTTCTTTCTTTCTTTCTTTCTTTCTTTCTTTCTTTTTTCTTTGTTGCTGAGGCAATTTCTTAGTGTACTGACAGTTGTTGCATCCAGCAAGAACAACCAAGGACCTAGAATTCGCAACTTGACACTTGTTCTTTTCTTCCATTCCTTCCCTGGGCAAAAATTTCAGTTGAGTTTTAAACTTTCAATTCAAGCTGAAAGTAAGTCTACCTCCCCATCTGCATGGACCAACAAGCTTCAGCCCAGAAATCTACTTTATGAACCACATATGTCTTTGCTAAGAGATTTATAATTTCAATAAAACTTGTGTCTTAAAACTTGTATCATGTTTTATATAATTACTTAGAAACTTGTAACTGAGCACTCAGAAAAATAATTCAGCAATATATACATTGACGACCCACAATGTCTAAGGCTTTGTTGGTTTTCCGTGCCCATTAGTGTGTTTGCTAAAAGGGTTATTGTCCTCTGACCGGACACTGCTAAGATCATCCTAACATCAACTGGGAACAATGGTGAGCAGGCAGCTGCAATTAGATGGAGATGGACAAAGCAGCCCGAGGGGAGGTCTGGATTCCGCAGTACCGAGGGGCTAAGGGCAGGGTTGCGTCCGGGAATCCCTAGTCATCATTTTGGGTTTGAGAAGGAAGTCACCATACTAGACGAGGAGACAGGGAAGTACGGCAGCAGCGGGAGAGTCGCACTGAGAAGGGAAAGCAATTTCAGGTTGACTGCGACAGAGAAAAGGTTAGAACCAAACCTGGAGTAAAATAATCAGATAGATAGAGCATTCGGTGGCGTTTGTTACGCTAATTTTAGAAGAAGGAACTTTATTCTGAGAGCCACAGGGATTTCTTTAAAGGATTTAAAACGGGAGGGAAGCGAACGGATTAAAATGAATGCATCCATTTAGTCCACTGTAGCGGTGAGAAAGGGGTGGAGGCGCAGGCCGCGCGCAGTGGGCAGGTAACTGCGGGGATCCTGGTGGAAATGGCAGGAGCGCGCACCGGAGCAGCAGGAGCCACGAGCAGAAGTGCGGGCGTAACGGATTCTGGGGCTGCAAGAGTTGGCGCGAAGGGATGATGAACAGGCAGTCATGGCTGATGATCATGCATGACTGAGATGGGAAACGCGGGAGGTCTGAGGACAGACAGGTGCTGAGCTCCGGGTAAAAGAGATTTCCAGCCTACACGTGAAATCGCTTGGGTTTCAGGACCGCTTGGAAGGCGGAGGGCGCATTGCGAGTGGACCAGACATATGAGAGAACAGCCAGCAAAGACGGATCGCACTTGTTTTCCTTTTCTTCAAAAAATACCCGGAATCCCAAAACCTGCAGTGAAACAGGCAGTGGGTTCCAGCGCTCTGATTTGGTGGAGGGAAATAAGATTTGGGGGTAAGAGTTGTTCACCATTTCCTTTCTACGAGTCCTGTCAATAACCTTCAACCAACAACCCCGCCCTCCGGTGTCGCCCACAAATTAACTCAATACATCCAACAATACGGAATCTCGATATTTTCTTTCCTGGAAGAGTATTTCATAGCAATGGGTTTAGGTTTAAAATGTGCCGTGCTCCTTTCGCCCAACTCCTGTATCTAAACGTTAGGGTAACCAAATTTCAATTTTAATAAATATCGCGTTACAAATGCGCAGTCACTTTCAAAACACCGAAACGGGAGACAGCCGTACACGACCAGTGCGTGCAGACGTGCAAACTTTCCAAATGTCTATCCGTGGCAGCTTAGGAGCTCCGCGCGTGTCCGGGACGGAGACAGCACGTCCCCCGCTACACTACCGGCTCCGCCCCCTCCCCATGCCACGCCCCTGGTCACCGCCCACTCCAGAACGCGGGGGGCGGATCCGGGCTGCCCCGCGCTGATTGGCTAGCTCCTCGCAGCCCGGCCCACAGAGCGCGCGCAGGAAGTTGGCCGGGCGCGCGCGCACGTCGCCCCGCGGGGAAGCGCCTGTGACCCTCTTCGGCACTCCGGGCCGAGGTGTCCTTGAGCTGCTTGGGGACAACCGCAGTCCCGTTCTCAGCCTCGCGGACCGCCGGGCGGTGGCCGAGGACGCCGCTAGCGGTGCCCGGAT